CGTGTGCTCTTCCGATCTAAGTTATAAGAATACACAAGTTATAACACTTTTAATTATATCCTTGACATTTATAAAAAAATATATACCTACATTTGTACTAAATTGCAGTAACACTGTATATTTTGTATTTTATACACATTAAATTATACATATATATATATATATATGTATGTTGTATTACATACCATTTATCTTATTAGTATTGCAATCTGATATATTACATTCTCTGTCAATACTAGTATCTGCAGATATATTTGTATCTCCTTTTTGTATTTCTTTAATAGCATTTGGATCAGACTTATTACAAATTATATCTGTTGTACTACATTGTCCATTATCGTGGGATCTTTTGTTCATTATGCACATATCTTTGATATTAAATGTATTACTTGTTGTAACACTATTTAATAATAAATCTGAAAAATAAAGTTATAAGAAGTTATAACACTTTTAATTATATTCTTGACATTTATAAAAAAATATACACATTTGTGCTAAATTGCAGTAACACTGTATATTTTTTATTGTATACACATAAATTATATACATATATGTATGTTATGTTACATACCATTTATTTTATTAATATTGCAATCTAATATATTACATTCTCTGTCAACAATACTAGTATTTGCAGATATATTTGTATCTCCTCTTATTTTTTTAATAGCAGTTGGATCAGGTTTATCACAAATTATATCTAATGTGCTACATTGTCCATTATCGTGGGATCCTTTGTTCATTAGGCACATATCTTTGATATTAAGCTTATCATCTGTTGTTCTATTTAATGGCAAATCTGAAAAATAAAATTATGATGAAATTAAACTTTAATTTAAACATGATACATTATAACACTTCTAATTGTATTCTTGACATTCATGAAAAAATGCAATTTGCATGTTAAAATAAAAAATGTACGATTATCCTGTATATTTTCTATTTTATTCATGTATAAGTAAATCATATATGCATATATTGTGTACATACCATTTATCTTGCTTCTATTAGAATCTGACATGTTCAATTCTGTGTCAATGTTAATATCTGTAGGTACATTTGTATCTTTTCTTATTTCTTTAGTATTGTTTGCGTTATCATCTGACATTAAGTTATTACTTTCAGATTTATCAGTAGTATTGCACTGCTTATGACCACAGAACTTGTTGTTTGTTATATAGTATAACTGTTTGTTATACTATCTTTAGTAGTAGAATTATTGCTTATGCTACTTTCTAACATCGCAATACTATTCATAGTTAATGATGAATCTGTAAATCATATACAGTCAGTATGTAATATTGAAAAGAATGATTATAATTATTTATTAAATATAGAGATCTATATTCAAAACGCACTTTTAAAGATATTAGTGCGTTGTTAAGTTATTTTTAGCTTTGTCATCTATTACACATAAAACAAGGAGAAAATGACTTAACAATGCACAAATATTTTTAAAA